TAGTAAATTCACAAATCTCACTTTCCCTGATTTCTTTATCCAGATAGGCGGGGTGTTATGAGAATGTGGTCAGCTGCCTTGATGTAAGCAAAGCCAAAGAGAGAACCAGTCAAGTATTAATCACATGATTTATAACTATAACCAAAGGCACGCAGAGGGTCGATTGATTGTCTGTTGTTATAGCCCGGCAGATCACCTGTTACAAGAATGTCAATTTACAAATACCTAAAGGATCCATTAAATTTTTAGGAAGTAAATAAGGCGTCAATTAAGGGTATTGCTGAACATTAGGAAGCAATCGATAATATTTTGCTGTACAGAGAAACATGAATGCTAATCTTGAGCTGTGGGTAGTTATTCCAGCTGTTTTTAACAATATAGTGCGAAATACACGATAGCCCGATTTGGGGGCACATAAGCAGTGCATACAATTCGGGAAGTTTTCTCCCTAAATTCTAACAAAGTGCTCGTAAGTTTGGACAGAATTGTGATACGTGTCAAAAGTGTAATTATGTAAATTTTCTACCTATTGGCTACTTAATTAGTTTAAAATCTTGGTTCCCAAATGAAATTCTCGAAATAAATTAGTTAGGACTTTTAACTTAGAAGTCATGTTCTTAAATCACGTTTCCTGTTAGGATATCGTAGATTATGTTTCAAAATTATGGGAATTTTGACTCACTCGTCTACAAAATTAGTCGCCTGGTTTCTTGCAATTTTCTGAATAAGGATAGCACCTTTTTAACATCTGAACAAACTGAATTAAGTCAGTGCTTACTGAAAGATTAGTTTTATTTACACGATTCATTTGCACGTACTAAGTAATTAAAGACGCGATAAAATTGAAGATTATAAGATCTTTAATTTAAACTCTAAATTGGACTGCCTTATGAAAGACTATTGAGGCTTATATTGTGACTTTTTTACTAGAATAACTAATACGGCATAAACTTGGCAGTACTGGAATTTTAATATTTTAAGTCTTTAAATTTTGGCTTCCTAACGAGTGCCAGTCAATTGTTTTCTATGTATAAGTTTTATCTAAACATTTAAAAGTTTCTGGATGATTTTGCAACATTCTAGGTAACTGTATTATAATTATGACAAGCACATATTACGAAGATATGCTACTGGGTTTTCATCAGCTATTATTTTCAGTACATAGCCATATTTCCTTTTCGTGTTTGGTCGGTTGTTAAACCCTTGTCTTCTATAACCTTTAGCTGAAAAATTATGTTCACTCAAAATTTTTAAAACGGAAGCAGTAAGATATGCATCAGTAGTATCATCCAAAATTGAAACATAATGAAACGTCTTCTATGATTATGATATTATGAAGGATATTGATGAATTTAATGATTAAAGAACGTTGCTTGGCACATCTACTTAAATAGTGTTTAGTCAAAGCCATAAAGTCTATTACATAATAAAAAGGTCTACTAGGTAATAAGTTTGACGCAATAAATTATACTGAAATATACTACGCAATGTTTTGATTGCTTTAGTTTGGATGACCTTTGGGTCTATACTTTTAGTACAATAAATTACCCATTTACTAATCCGATGCTTCTTGGAAAACCGTATGAATTTCAGGCATTTACAGAGTTGTGTTTATAAATTTAAGAATCACATTACTCTAGCGTAACTTTTCTTATCAGTATTCTTCCTTTCTAACTGTTGATTTTTTTAATGCTTTTTCAGCTATTCACCTACATAAAAATATTTTTATGAGGAACTATTTCCGTGCATTTCTAAAACTTTCTCAGGTACTTCAATGTATTACATCCACCAGACACCAAATTAGGAGTCGACTTACTATCAAACAATTATGACAAAAAAAGCATTATTGTATTGTATAAAACCGAATAATAATGATGCCGGATTGTTTTCGTTACTTAAAGGTTTTTAAAATTGTAAGGTGTTGAAAAGTGCAGTTCATTTTCATTTTTATTGAAGTGACGTAGAGTATATAAGTGTTCTGTAATAACCCTTTGCATTCACCAAGAGGCATATCTACACCACCTGCATTCGACCAATACTCTGCTATGCAGCTCCTGCTTGGAATACGGTTACTCAAAATCAACTTCACCAACTGCAAGTTGTACAGAAAAAATTTTTGCGTTATTATTACTGACTCCCACTACCTTATTCATAATGAACTTTTGCACCTAGATTTAAAACCTGAGACAATTCCAGAATATATCAAAAGACCCACTAAAAAATCTTTACCAAAGCCGCGCAATGTGACTTAGTAAATTATTCTGAAGATTTTAATTATGAAATTCTCTTTGAAGATCGCAGTATCAGGCCTCTGACAGCACACATCTTCATGGGCAGAGATGACAACTTTATCGATTAGCTCCTCAATTGGTAGCTGTTTATACTTCTATCGCATCTGATTATTGCTTTCATTTTTTTTTTTTTTTTGTTCGAAAATGTTCTTTGGAAATTAAAGCAACTGAAGTTGTGTTGTATTGAACATAGTTGTGTTGCATTTGTTGTGTTGTAATTTAGTATTCCAGGTTGTTGTAGTATTGCTGTAGTGAATTTGTCTTGTATTTTAGTAGTATTGATTGCTGTAGTATTATAGTTTTTGATTTTGTCATTGATGCCAGTATATGTTGTATTTCTCTTATTGTTGTCATTGAACCTGCATTGCCTTGGATCCTTCTGAAAAACTCTGCTCGCTTGTCACGTCTTGAGAACTTGTTTGATACGATTTGTCTTGCTCCTTTTTGGTACTTCTCTCCTTCTCCTTTACTCCGTTCTCTCTGAGATCGCTTCCACGGCAGGATTTTATTATGTCATGTGCCCTAGGGCTTGATTTCATGAACCGGCAACGTTGGTTTTCGCAATAGTTCGGAATAATATCGAGTCTAAGTCCTTTGCACTCGGGGCCTTTTTTCGTGCGGGGCAACTCCAGACGTTTCGCAGTCTTTTTGAAGCATTTCTTACCAGTAATTTAAAATCATTACACACACAAATTAATGCATAAAATTCTTATATTTCAACATTTTATACATCTTTACACCTTTAGAAACATAATTTCTTAAATATTAGTCTCTGTAATTTTTCTGTATATGATATTTTATGTAACAATTCCCAAGATGAATGTCTGGCTTGTCGGGCCAAGTCTTGCAGTAACATGTTGTTTGATGCTTTTTTCGGGTTCATTTCTCTGAGAACAAACAGACTTTGTGATAGATAAAAAAGGTAAGATTTCAGATAAGAAAATTTTGTCTCCATTTAAAAAAAAGGGTATCATTTTACACTTCATAAAATTATACAGAAAGAGCGCAGGAACCCGCTTCGAAGAAACTAAACGTATACAGTTATTGCCGGGCATCGAGTTTCCGCATCAAACCAAGTGGTGAGCGAGAGTCACCTCTCGCGTTGTGGCATAAAATCACGTGGTGAGTGAGAGTCACCTCTCGTATGCAAAGGGTTAATGATCTTACTGTTATGTACTTATGTACTTCTGACCTTGTAGCTACATCTGAATATATGTAACACTTTTATAAGAATTTTATAAGGAGCTAAAAACATGTCACCTTGGCTGATGTCCAAACACTTGTAAAAGGAACGCAGAATGCAATCCTATCATTAGCATTATTTTGCGATTTTCCTGTGAGATACGTTTTACATCTCATAGATTTCAAACATAGTTCCAGTAGTTTTTCTCTCTCATTTTTCCTATTTCCTAATTTTTCCGGATTTAGAAAGTTTTTTTTTCCGTCATTGTTTCCCGCCATTACAAGTGCACGAAAGACGAAATGAAAGATATTCTTTCCAGAACCGTTAAGTTGTATAAAAATCATTTTTAATTCATTGCATATACAATAAAAGTAACAAAATAAAAAATATGAACTGATTTTAATCTACCCAACTCAAACATAACAAAACAGTATTCAATGTTTTAACCTACTTTAAAAGTGGGAAGAAATAATTCATCATCGCTATGTGCTGTAACAAATGTTTGCTCAGCCCTTTCTGAAAAAAGTGTACCATCGAACATTCAGTCGGATTTCATTATCTCCTCAAACTGTTTTCAGAAAACATTTAAATTATACCATTTTATATAACATAACAGAGGCAACATTTATATGGTAAAATGTGAATTAAAATATTATTATACGTAATTCCTTTAAAAATACTACCAAAACATTTCATTAGCATAGAATGCAAGTCTTGCACCAGTTTAGATGTGCGTATTTAACTAATGTTATGACAAGAAAAGAGTAATATTGAACTGACCGTGACTGTCTTAATCTTGTTAAAAATTCAACTTTCGTCATCATTATCATCATCTACAAGAGATTGAAAGTGTTTCCTTATGTTAACATTGATTCCAGAAATCTTTTGTCTTTTTACATTGCTATATTGTTTAAGCGTACATTTACTCCACGTCTGTAAGTAAATGAAGAATATATGTGGAAAATCTCTTTCTGAAACCATGATTTTTAATGATGAATACAGTTGATATTCTGCTGTATTTGCTTCTTTCGTTGAACTAAACCCTGATGATGATGTAACAAAAATGCAAATTCTGTTTTTTCTTCTTCATTTTTGGTTTTGACATTTTTTGCGCCTTACATGCAGTTTGCCACTGTGCTTCTGGGGTTTTCCATGTGGTTCGTTCCGAATTGAATATGGGTTGGATTTTAAACGTATTATTTTAATTTATTTGCATTATAGCTCCATATATGCATGATAAATGTATATATCATTCTCGATATATATATATGACGATTCTAAACGTACGATATATATCGCTCTTGTGATAAATGTAGAATAAATATGAAGTATATATATTTTGTCCGATTACATAGAATATACCGTGGCACCTGTATGTTACGGTATATTCTACATAAAAGGAATAAATAATATTTTTAATGCTGCTGATATGAATTTAAAACTCCATGGCCTATATTTAAGACTGTGTAATATATATCTATAGTTGCACACATTGGTAGCTTGAGAAAAAAGAAACTGAGACAACGTATTTAAAAATAGGCTGTTTTATTCAGAAAAGCATAGTATACTCCGGGGTTCAAAACCGATACATATTTCTGTTTCTTCGATAAAGTTGGCCCCTTCCTAATATTGTATTCCATGATACATGCATTGATGTTTCATCTTTATTTAATAGAGGATATATCTTATAACTCGACCACTCTGATGCCTGAAAGTTTATCGCCATATAGTGATAATTTCTTTGGATAAAACCATATTTTTCACTCTTATGCTAAGAGATTTAGATTTCAGTTTAAATGGCAGCATAAAATTTCTGCATTAAGTGTAGTATAATTGTTTTGGTTTTTACGAATGACTGAAGAGTTCATAAAATATTTTTTATTCGATCAAAATTATTTCAACCGCACATATTGTTTCCTAATTATAAAAAGTGTATTTAAAATTAGTAGTGTACAAAAACTAATCTTTATCTTAAAGTACATTATAAATTATTCTTATTCACACTGGATTCGAAGATAACGCAAAATTTCGAGTACACTAACACTTAATCCGCTTTAGACCAGTGCAGAGAAATTCTTATTATTAAGTAATGGTGAGAATTACAAATAATTGATCTTCAAATTCGTAGATGAGATGGTTGAGTTATAAGAAATACATTGTTAACAAACTTACGATTCAGATGTTTGTAATTCAAATGTACTTCGCAAAACGGTAGAAGTAACACTGAATATATATTACTTTGAAATGTATGATGGTCTAAATTGAAAACATTTAGGAAGAAATTAAGCTGATACATGTATGTTAAAACAAATCATGCATTTAAGAGAAACTTACGCTAAAATGTTTTCCATTATTAAAGTAAATTATACAAATGCACGTAGATTACAAGCTAACTTGACTATTCTTTAAATAACATGGTTTTCGTCAGTTTCTAATTTCTTTAAACTGACGTTTAATATATCTACGCATTTTAATAACTTTAAGTATACTTAAAAATTATATGCCTTAATTTATTTTTAATATGAAGAACATTAAATATAAAATCTATGCAATTGTATAATTGAATTGTTTAGTTATGTATTTTAAAATCAAAGCCGAAGATTCAGAAGAGCTTATGTATCTAGTACTTAATTTTAAAGAAATTGTTTCGATGCAATATTTGCACAATTTAGAAATTATATGAAATAACACCTTACAAGAGTTTCAATAAGGATTTTTAAACACAGACAAATTTCTGCTTATGTAAATGTATTTAAAGATCCGATACTTCTTCAGTTTAGAATTTAGTTATGAATTAGAGACAAAATACACAGGCTTATTTTTAAAGCTTGATTCTAATAAGCAGTTCAAGCAGCGCAATAGAATTTCATAGTATTAATTTTATATGATACGTTGCCTTAATGGGTTATTATATTCAGTTTAAATATTATATCAAAAGATTAGTTTATTAAATTTATTATGATTTATATTTCTAAGCAGATTTTATACATTGTTTCACAAACATAAGATGTTACACTTTAAGGAAGGGGACTACAACTGCATATTTCAGATTGTAAATGCTTAACAGAAATGTAATTTAACATTAAGAACTGATTGCATCAATCATGTCATTTCAAACTGTAGCAAGTTACAAACTGTGCTCAATTAAAATAATAATAATTAATTTCTGACCCACAGAAGCGGGAACTCAGAGCTGTAATATAAAGCACATGAAAAGTATTATGAAATATTTTGACAAATTTGATTAAAACTTCTAGGTAATTAAACAGAACTCATGAGAAACATTTAATTAGATTTTCACAAAAGAGCATTTAAAGTTACTAACAGTAGGTAGAGAACGTAGGACTTATTTATATTCGAGAAGAAATATTCCTTTTGTATTTAATATAATTTAATTAAAAAAATAGAAAATAATTCTTTAAAATGCATATAAAACAACGAGAACACAAATTTTTCACACTTAAAATATTTTAAAAATACATAAAATTAGTTCAAATTTTTAACTTTATTCCAGATATTTTGAAAATAAGGCAGAAGTTTTAATTTTAAGTAAAATGTTTCTTTTTAAATTAGATAAAATCACAAGTAAGTAAACATTGTAAAAATATTTCCAGATTTACATAGATATATTTAATTAAAAAGAATTCGATCATTTTTAATTGCTTCTACTGTTGCCTCAAATCATTAATATTACAACATAATTTAATTGCTAAGGAGAGATATAATATACTTTAATATATCGTTATATTTCTTATTGAAATTAATAAATGAAAATACAAATTTAAAACTGAACTTCAAATAATACGACTTGCTTAGAATATTTTAAGCCGAATAATTTCAAAATCATTCAATATATATTGGCTCTGAATATTACAAGCATTTTGCACAATATTCATATATCAATAATTGGCACAATATTAAAAAATCGAGATATTTCTCTTTTTTTAAATCTTTTTCTTCCGTAATAGTTTAACATATTCTAAATTCATGCTGGCACTACATATGAATTGAACAGACTTCTAGATAACAAATTATTTGCAAGTCAAAAGTTCTAAAACATTTTGACTGTTAATACCCATGTTAAAATTATGTCATGTTAAGAGTACTACATTCACAGAGAATAAATCATAAGAAAAAATATTAAAAATAGAAATTCAAAACTGCGATAGTAGAAAAACTGTAAACACAATTCCAGTTATAAATCAAAGCTTAGCAACAATTACATATTATGTATAACAAAAAAATGAAGCTCACTTTCATATAACTACGTATCATAAGAAGGCATATAACAAAACGTTCGATATCGACATTTTGCCGATACACAAAGTTCAGTTCAGTTTTGTTTTTCCTGCATCTTTCTTGTTTTGTTTACAATGCCATTTTGCACTAGTTACACACAAACCACACAGTTGCCAAAAGAAAAAAAGGGCGGCTGGCTCACTGACTGCAGAGTTCGCTTTTGATGAAGTCCACATTTGCAGCAACCATTATTTCGCACAGTTGATAAAAATATGGGATTCAGTTTCCCCTATCATGAAACCGCCTGCCTCGGCAAACATCCATGCATTTAAGGTAATAGGAATTAATCCATTCTTTTGCATGAAACTTTCAAGAATCAAGTGGATTTTTAATCTCAGTTTGGAAATTTTTCTAAAAATATATTATAGTTTAATAATTTCAGTGAATGGTACAATCAAACTCCGCACTAAGATAGATTAAATCCACACAAAGGACTCCATCCCCTGTAATACTGTAGGTCATCCGGTCCCGTTAATCTCATAGATCCATAGATTCATCTCTTTGATCCATAGACTAATATCATAGATTGATTTGATCTGGCCTCGTTAATCCCATAGATCAATTCTACTCAACAAGCGGTCTTCTAAGTTTTCTGAATATTTTAAAGAAGTTTTTAAATATCTAAACGAAAAACGATTTTTAAACATATACATGGATATAAATGCATCTAATTAGAATTAGAAAACATGATTAAGATTTTTTTTTCAAATCCGCTATAAAATGAAAAATTTCAACAACTGCAAATATAACAAAAATGCCATTGACAAAAAAATAATATAGTTTCTTAGAAAGATATTTCTACGAAACGGTTCACTACATTTAGAAATATTAAAACAGATTAAATACAAAAACCGCTCGAAACCTTTTGATGTGGAATTAATCATTGCAGTCCAAGGCTTGAATCCAATATTAGAAGTTTAATTATTAATTAGAAGTTAATTAAAAGGAATTCTCAGTTACAATTTAAGTGCTTTTGTAAAAATGTCTCGTTAAACAAGGACTTTAGTGAAGAGGTGTAACGAAACTCCGACTAGGATGGGTAAAGGAGCGTGCAAAGGAAAATCATCTGCAGTCCTGCAGGAAAATTTCGCACAATTCCACTCAGCTTTATTAAAACCGTAATTATACTTCACTCTAAACGAACGATCTTCCCTCGGCCTTTTTTAATATATGAAGGAAGTTTTTATGAGATATCTACGAAAGAATGGAACATGTAAATGCGAACTATTTCACATAATATGAAAATAACGGGCATACTAAGCTCAAACAAAACCGTTCGGAAATCGAACTTCCAAAACAATTCGGAAATTAAATTTTAGCAACTAGAAATATAACCAAAAGTCCCAAAGGAAAATAGTTTGGTGGTAGTTCCTTAGAAATGATGTATAGTATAATACGATATCTTCTACAAAATTAAAATAAGAACAATGTGAAAATCGCTCGAAAACATTTAATATGGAATTTGCCCCTGAAATTCAGTTTTTGAATCTCAAGTTGTGGAGTTTGCCTACAGGATCACGGGGAAGGCGTTGACTCTTGGTGCAGAATTTGATATTTCCACAATGTACAGTTAGTTATGATAAAATAAAAATTAAACTGTGAAATAATTGTACGTAAGTTTTCTGTACATTTATATAAAACTTTAGAGCATAGTGAAAATTTTAAAAACGTTCTTGATTAAAACAAATTTTCAATTTGGATTTTATTTCTTGCTAACGGCTCATTAACACAAGGTATTTATTCTAAAATATTTTGTTAATTTGAAAGATTTCACAGACTACTTTGTTGAATCTTTGTATTGTATTGTAATTCTTGATTTTGTCAAACATTTTATTTACTTACACTGTCTATCAGTTATTAATTCTTCCTTACATGATATATATCTTCAACATTCCTGCTCATGTTATAGATTCTATTTCAAAAACTTTTATGGTATACAAGCTTTAGGTATTCCAAGCCTCAGTGACGAATTTCTTCTATTACGGATTGAATACATACTAAGCAATGATGAGGGAAATTTTTTAAATGTTGCCACTGATACAATAAAATACATTCCCGTATAACTAGCAAATTACATCTCGCTAAAGGATATGATTTTACAATAAGGTCCTAAGTTGTTCATTGTTATTTGATGTGTTAACCTGTCAGTTCAAAATACTCGTGATACTTTTACGTTTTAAATCATTTATTCTTTCTGTATTAAGAGATTTCTTGAAGAAACGTTTATTGACTCTAAACATTTCGAGAAAAATGCATTTTATAACATTGGGGAAAAAATATGGTAACGAAAGCTATGTGTCTTATTAATTATTACATCTAAAGCGATGCGAATTTTAAACAAATTATAGTCCACTCTTTTTAAATATTATCCTCAAGTTAAATTTTAGCATAACCTACTAACAAAAAAAAATCAAGTCTAACACATTTATGTAAATAATAATTACTAACTGTATCTTCTTAATCAGCTTATCTGAACTTGAATTAGATAAAATGGTATGTTTGTTCAAGCAAAATATCTTCCATCTTGCTTCAGTGTTTCAATTGTGTGTTCATGGGTCATAAATGTGAAATATTCATTCTAGAAAAATAATTTTGAAAAGTACCTATTCCTATATTGATACTAAGTTCACCAAATTGTTTTGATGTTTCAAAAACGCTTAATGTATGCGAATGTCTGCCGAGCGAGGTGGCTCAAATTATATGAACATTACGTGTGGAAAGTGGGTGAACCTCCACTGACCACAGCGAGAGTACCACTAGTACGATGGGCCTTCTTTGAGTGCTTTTTCTTGTTCTTCTTGGAGCGTCCTGCTCTTCGTCTGCGTTCATTCTCATCCGTGTTACCGTCCACAGTTTCCGAAATAATTTGGGGATTAGAGCAATCGATTTTTTTCATAGCCCTGAAAAACAAATAACAAATTAAATGATTTTCACCTATACTAAACATTTCAAGAGCATGTAATATTTAATTTAGTGCTCGCTAAATTCCATACCATGTGGGCTATTTTAAATGTGAAGTTAATTGGCAAGCAAATTGTCTATATAAATCATTTTATTATTTGACTTATTACTAACCATTAAGAACAGAACTTGTATATATATGTAATATATGCATATATGTGTGCATGTATGTATGCACACATATTTATCTTCCACATACACGATAAAAAGTGCATAAGAGAAGCATGACTATTGTAAATTGATATTTAAGCAGAAGCTTGAATAACGTTGCTTTTGAAAAAAAAATTTTTGCACTTCTAGAGAAATTGATACAAGGTCCCCTATTATCTACGAAAGGAATTCTGTAATTTGGCAGGATACCTTGAAGAAGAAGGACTGCATTAATTTTCTTTAAAATTGAAAAGTTTTTTTTTTTTTTTCGTTTTCGTACAGTGATGTGGTATACCAATTTTAGTTAATTATTTGTTTTTTAAATACTGCTACTAAAACAAAATTTTAAAATTCGAACATGCAATAAAATGGCGAGAAAAAATATTAAAACAATAATCAGTTTTAGTGTTACCACATAAACCATAAATAAGTAGCAAAAAGCGATAAGACCGCTTACTATAAGGAGTGTTTCTACTAAGATAACGAAACACTAATGACATTTTATCTAATTTTGATCATAATATAGGTACATAAATGACTTAGTTATTGAACTAAATTCTGCACTAAAATAAAAACTTAACACCTGTAGAATTGTTTTCATGATCAACATGATAAAGTAAAAATAAAATCTGTAATTGCAAAAACCTCTTTTACATTATAAATTTCTCTCATTTGAGTTAAATTTATAATTAAAAAAATTTTATAATATCAATGAATGAAATTTATATTTCTTCAAAATATTTTGAAGAAGGAAACATAATATTTTTTCGAGGCGAATGCAAACTAAGTACATATCGGAAGACAAAGAATTGCATAAGTAAAACAATACAATGCCTTCATCTGACCATTATTTGAATTAAAATTAGATACATTCGTGTTCCAAACAAAAGTTCTTGCAGGTTCTACATTTGGGGTATAAGGTATTTCTCCCGCTTTCTTAGCGTGCTTTCGTGATCTAGCGGTCAGCACACTGAGCCAGTATTTCAGAGGTCCGTGGCTCGATTCCCGGCGAAGGCGTTTGCTCATTTTTCATCTCTCCAGCTTCCAGATATCCTAATATCTCTACAGGGGTAGTTAATTTTATTCATTTAATACTCATTAGAAATAAAATTTTGTAATCTCTTCTTAAGAAACGACCAGAAAAATTCTACACAAAAGTGGTGACATAATGTTTTATCGAGTTGTTTAAAATGCTTCTGCTAATTACCAGTTGTTCTTTAGTTAACATTTTGTATGCTATTGGTATACAACTAGTGATATTAAAACATAACTCTTACTTTTCTCATCATAAATATTGTACTGAGTTACGAGAATGAAACAGAATAGATGACGACGACAACAACAACACCAACAAACGACAACAGTAAAAGATCTTATACATTCTTCAACAGAAATCTTATTAGATTTTTATCAAAGCGTTCAATTTTGTTAAGAAATCACAATTCGCCTACTAAGTAATATTAATTAATATTTTATCCTGAGGTCGATTCCTAGTAATTGACTAAAATGGCTAAATAGAGTTACTTTTCTTCATGCTAATTAAAATATACGATAGTTTCCTTTCAAAAGATTCTGTTATAGAAAGAAGAGATAAAAGCTTGTCTCTCTAGACCGGAATCTTTAGAGTCTTAGACGAGAATTTCTCAGCTTTTCTATAAATCTGGACATAATTCAAAAAATCAGATAAAGTTAGCAATTATGCGTATCAGGCTGCTGTTTGCACTAAAATAGTTATTACATAGTCGTATTTCCTTTATATGCAAAAGATACATTTTAGTTCAGGTTTTCTCCCACACATGGCGCCCTACTATTAATACCGCGAAAATAATCCAAATTTAAATCCTTTCACTGAAGATAAGCAAATGTCAGCCCATGGCGGATTGCAACATTGTAAACGGTATTGTAATATGTTCACGACTGCCAAAAAATAAATGCTAAAATTTAATAGCTTTATGCCGAAAGATAATCTACCTGTGCGATTAAATCTTTAAATGCAAACTGTACTCTGATACGTCTGTTTCTGATTTTATACAATTTTTTAATCTGTCAGATGTATGGTACACCTTATAATGGCATTGACATAAGATTAACCCATCTATCGTTCTTTCTCGTGTAATTTCACACTCCCGGGGTGTGGTTTTCTAGTGGATGAGATAAAGTCTAGTGCATGATAAAGTCTAGTAGATGAGATTCTAGTGGATGAGCAAGTAATAATTTCAAGTATTTTATATTTTTGCACATGTTTTGTGAAATTAATCTTAACATTTTATTAGTATTGATACTTATATTTTTTTCTGATGAAGTAGTTGTTCGTAATGAATTCTAGTTTTAATTTAGATTCTACTGTTGTTTTCATTCTAAGATGGAATTCATGTCATAATTAAAAATTAAAGCAGTAAACTTAGTTATTCAACTGTGGTTCTTGCTGTTTGCAACCGTAGCTGTTTAATAATAGCTTAATAACAGTCGACTGCGCTACTGTAGATGAAACAATCCTCGAGTCCTTTCCCTCGTTAGTTGATCAACCAAACTACCAGATCTAAATTTTAAGAATTACTACACATGTGAAGAACGTTATTAAAACGACAAGCATAAAGTATTACTAGTCAGTTTCAAACTGCAAAAATAATTTATAGATTAATAAAGATAGAATGAATTGTTTGGAAGTATATTATGAATTGCTATTTCTCATCATCCATTTATAAAAGAGGTTCTAATGTAATACGTGGCAAATAAAGTGTCCGGTTATTAAATGGATGCGTAGCCTTCACAATGATGGTCAAAAACAGAATATTTGAACAGCAGTGGAATATGAAATTTTACAGTTTTTAAATAATTATCAGTTTAGCTCTTGAACGTTAAGGGATTCGTTCTTTATTTTTACTTGTTTATATGCATAAACAAAAGGGTAAAACACTTTTACAGACGTAATTATTAAATTAAATTGTCCTTTTCAAAGCCATTGTTGCAGATAAAATCCAGAAAAGATTTTGATTTATTGCATTTTATTACATTTTCAAAACAAAACAAAAAAAAACTTTTGGTGTCAGACAACCATTTAGAAAGGTTGATAACTGCACATTTCCCCGTAGTTAGAAAATGGCACTTAAATATAATTAGTGTTAAGTAACTTGATAGGCACGCACGTTGATCTGAGCTAAGTAAATCAAATAACATTGACGTTTTCGCCTTCAAAAGTATTAAAAAATAAAACAAAGAAAATTGTCTTTAAGAGTCAACTTTTATTTAGAGTAAGTAAGCATTGAGCTTCAAGCAGTCTTAAGTGGAGTGCTTTCATCCACCGGTACCAATCAAGGAATCAGGTGAAAGTGAATTAAGAGATTAAGAAATGAGAGTTAAATGAATTTCGAACTGTTTTAATTATAATTCGTCGTTACATTGGTATTAAAAAATAGCTTTGCTTGCAGCTTTTTATATTTAAGTTGTTAATGTCTGCGGTATTGAGATGTCATTTAGTATTTAAATTCTCGACGTGCTATGTTACCTTCATTGTATTTCATTAACAAACCTTTAGATTACTATTTAACTATAAACAACGCATAAAAATCCATATATCGATTCATATTTTCTTATAATCTAGGTGTTTTAGGAACAATAATTTTTTCTTCTTCTGTTGATGGAATCTTTATATATTTAATGTAAAGTAATGTAATATATATTTTCTGTAGATATCTACTATTCCGACTAATGTAAAATATATTTTCTGTAGATATCTGTTGCCCTGACGTAGAGAGTGCAAATTTGGCTTCACTAATATTAAGTAAGAATGTAGTAGCATTAAACCGGTTTGCATGCATTATTTTCCTACATAGCAAAACGACGTCCACATGGATTATCGCATTGCACAGCTAATAGATAACTGATATTTCTTAATTATGAATTACTTAGAAAGTGATTACCTAATATATACAAAAATGCAAGCAGACTGCATTATTCTATTTTATTATTTAAAAATTGTATTTCATTTCTTTTGCAATAACACATGGTTTAAAATTTGTTAAATATTTTTTTTTCTGTTACATTACTTTAATTTTAGTTTGTAACAGAACAAACACATTCATAAATTTTGCATGCAATATTTTGTCTTGTACATTGAAGAAGACGTAAAAATGTTTTAACCTTTTGTTTATGCAAATAAACCAGTAAAAATAAAGAACGAATCCCTTAACGTTCAAGACCTAAACTGATAATTATTTAAAAACTGTAAAATTTTATATTCCACTGCTGTTCAAAAGAGTGTCTAAATTTTGCTTAAAAAAACTCTTATAAGAAACGTTATATTTTTAAAAATATGAATTTACATTTTCAATGATTTTGTTAAAATGAAAAAATATAAAAATAAATACTTTTTTTTCCACTTTCAGAATTTTTAACCCTTATGTGAAGAAAATTCACATTTTTCACATTTAATATCAGTGGTATCATGCACTAATATCCGACTACATGTTGTTTTAGGTGTGGTACGGTAAAGAATTACACGAATTCTTCCTATGCATTCTTGTAATGTAATTTTCCTGTGGTTTGCATATTAGGTGTGCTACACAAGATAATTCGATTCGATTCCCAGCGACGGCCTCGTTAATCGACTCTACACTCTTGAAAGTCCTCATGTCTTTGTAGCGGCGAATGTACTAAAACTTATGGATGATACCTTGTCATCAATTTAGATTATGATATCGATTGTATCAACTACAGACTGCATTGTCAATTATCTCTATCAACTAGAGGAAGTCTTCTTTAATTAACAGAAATCGTCTTGTAGATGATC